AAATTTTTTTACCAAATAAATGTATGAAAAAATATATATATTTCTTTGAGCTAAGGAACACTTCGTGCAACTATGTTTTTTTTACCTTCGTAAGGTTTATATTCTCGTGAATCGCCACCAGGATATGAAGACATTCTGAAGTTTTTAGTTTTAATATAAGTTTACCTTATTTTTATTTGTCATATAGCGTGATTTAATTAGTTCGTGTAACCAAGATTTGCCGACTTTATTTGAAATTATATTGTGTAAAAACCTATATACTTTCCCGCCAAATATTCGCCATGTACTTTTATCACCTAAAGTTTGAACTTTATATTCCGGCAGGGAATAATTCACAAGATAATTGTCAAAATAAATTCATTATTGACAAAGATTCTCTTGATTTATTCTACGTTCCAAAGGATATTTTTGCACCTTTACCTGCACATTCTCAACTAAAAAACGAACCGCAGTCGGTCTTGCAATCAAATAATTCTAAAGCAAAAGGACAAATCAGATCTAAATCCAGATCTTTAGATCTTTCAAAGCCTGCTTCAAGCCAAGTGCCTTCAGTTCCACCAACCCCGATCTCTAAATATAATAGTTCTGATATAACAGATTCTCCAGGCTGGACAATTGTTGGAAGACGAAAATCAATTGCTTCTACTTCTGCGGTACCTTCAACAATAATAACAACTAAACCAAATTTTGATAAAACTTACGATTTTCGATTTGGTAAGATTGAAGTCGAGTGGTTTGATAATTCTGAAATAATTGAAGCTGAATATATGGGTGAAAATATGAGCGAAAACCAGAAAATCAAATCGAGTAGTGATAAAGCAGTAATACCAGCAGGCGAATTTGTTCCGCTTAAGTCTGGCAAAACAAATCTTAGTTATGGTATGCTACATTTATATCGTGATCCGAGTGAAATACTTTCATCAAAAGATGATCAAGGTTTTATTCGGGTTGAGAAGAATGATAAAAATAAACAGAATAGTTCTGGATCAAATCAAAATTCTGCTGAAAAACAAGAGGACTTTCCTGGAATATTAAATAATGAAGAAACAATATTGGCCGTATTGGCCGTGCCTTCTTTCATGAGTGCTTCAGATTTTTTGGCATTTGTTGCACCAGTACAAAGATTTGTAAGCCATTTTAGATTTATCAGGTATGTTACAAGCATATTTCATATGTGATATCCATATTCAATATCTTAGATTATTTAATTATTATGGTTAGAGATTCGGCACCCAACAAGTTTATGGTCTTGATGAAGTTTAGACATGCACGAGCCGCATGGGATTTTTATAGACAATTTAATGGTCGTCCTTTTAGTTCTATGGAGGTTCATATTTTTTTCATTCTTAGATATTTGTTTTGTTTATTTATATTTTTCTGATGTCTTATATTTTATTCAGCCTGAAATATGCCATGTGGTCTACATCAAATCTATCGAATTCAAATCTACTTCTATTCCTCCCGACGCATTCCCTTTTTTGCATGATCCTTTTATACCCTCTACGCAAAACGACACAATGAAATCTAATGATCAAACTCAACAATCCTCCGTTTTATATGAACTTCCAACCTGTCCTGTATGCCTTGAAAGAATGGATGCATCCGTAACTGGGTTGCTCACAATACTATGTCAACATACGTTTCATTGTGATTGCTTAAGTAAATGGGGCGATAGTAGGTAAGTATTAATATTTTTTATATAAATAA